TCCCAGGAGAGACAGTAATATCATGTTTGTATTGTGTTTACTATATTTTTTCTATTGCTTACCCAGTTGCACACAAAGATTTCTTTTATTTTATCGATTCTTATTTATTTGGATTGGAATGTTCTAACGGACAGAAACGCATTTCTGTCCAAACATTCGTTAAAGATTTGGTACAGTATACGAACAAAGAGTAAGCAGTATTAGGTAGTATTACGTGCTTGTCTCGAGTTGATATGTTAGCGAAGTTTATTGGATAATCTTTTTTTCCAATTTCCACTAAAAATGTACTGTGCATGCGTTATGCCATTTTAATATTTTGGTATTTATAACCAAGAACGTAAAGAAGTAAAGCGTTGCTTGCTATAATGAACGGTCCGTTATTGTATCTATGTTATGGTACTGTACGTTGTATTTATTAATTATTCTTTGCAAAATAATTAAAATTTTTCACCAAGGCATTGCTTGATTACTCGTTTTGTCCATTAATTGCTATACATATGTAACTGACAGAGAACATCTATTTTTACTCCCGAAGACGGAGTAAAATATTTTACTCCATTTGAATGAGTAAACTATTTTACCCCCTAAAATGGAGTAAAGTTTTTACTCCAATAAATAGGGTATGTTTTACCCTCAAAAATGGAGTGAAAAGGTATTTACTCCTTATGCAAGGGTAATTTTTTTACCCCCAAGTCTGTGGGGTAATTTTTACCCTGTTTATAATTAATTCAATTATTACCCCCCAAAACGGGGGATTCTGTGGACACTCAACTACACCCCCATATATAGGGGTAAATTTTACACCTCAGAATTTACAGTGTATCCATATACAGTATGACGTCTTTAGAAATAAATGTTATGTCAACAATTCTTTTGTTTTTAAAATACAGTCTTTCATTACTATTTGACTGCAAGTTTATATGAAGGAGTACTAGATTTAAGATGCCAATGGAAATTGTTAACATAACAAAAATGAAATGAAAATGTTCCTTAACTGAAAGAAAGTAAATTCTATCAAAAGGTGGTATATTAGTACACATTTAAGTGATTCAGCTATTTTCTCTCTGTCCTTTCCTAAATAACAATTTGCAAAATTTGTTTTATACTACAGTATACCAATTGATGTTTCTGGTTAAAAATGAACAATCTTCATAATTAGCTAAAAACTGAGTGGTTTATAGTGGTATACAGATGCATATTGAGTGTACAACCATTACTTTTGCCAATGAAATTGTCTTTTTTTATTTAAAGGATGCATTATTAATATTTGCCAAGTGGAGAGTGCTACAAATCAATGGGTTAAATAATTTAACCTATTGATTGGCAGCACTCTATCCACTTGACGAGTAAATTAAATTGTCTGGCGTTAGACAAAGTAAAATACTAATTAAAAGTAGGTTGCATCATTGCCAATTACTCTACAAGGTGTATCATAAAAAACGGAGTCCTCGCTTCAAATATAAATTTCGAAACAAATATTAAAGCAAAATGTTCAGGTTTACATTTATTTTAAAGCGTAGACATTCAGCTTTTCAACGGTGGGTTGTTTCGTAAATATAATCCAGAAGTTCGTGAATAATAATATTTTAAGTGATTGCGATTGGAGAGTCAAAAATTTGAGATGCAATAGCGAACCGGTACTTGATGAAAATAACTTATTTTGTCAACAAAACGAGCAAATTGAGGCATTTTGGCAATTGCTTGTAAAAATCAATTAATAATGGCTTCAATACACTATTTTAAATTCACTTGCTGACTTCAAATGCGTTATAATACTGGCTGAAGCGTGTTTTAGCTTGCTGTCAACTTGCTAATTTATATTTACATTACGGCCCGATTCGATGGTGCTCGTTCGGACGATGCATGGACGTAAGTTTGTTTTGATGATTTCTGGAAATAATATAGGATTTTGAAATAAATAAAACAACCTAATCTCTTTTAGAATGTTTTTAACAAGTTCTTACTAGTTTTTCCGATGTGGCAACAAGAACATTAAAGTTTGAACAAAAAAATTCAAACATTGCAACCGACTATGGAATAACACAGTAAATTTGTATAATTAAGCAGCATCTAAACATGATAGGTTTTACTAAATTTTCTCCTGTGCATTTATTACTTGCACTAAAGACACGGATGACCATTTGGTCAAAAGATAAATGAACAGGCTTTAAAATAAGCCTAAAACCGTTTTATTAGAAGTAGCAGTCCGAAAGTTATTAAGCACAAAAGTTGGACTCCGTTTTTTTTTATACACCCTGTATAGGGTTAATTAGTTGTCTGTTTTATAGGCACTTCTTCAGTTCTTTTAGCTCCACGTGCTCAGACTAAGGAATTACTTGACAAATTCTCGTGGAATGATATTATTAAAGAGCTCAAACTACATGTACCAAGTCTACTTGATGTTCTTGTCACAGCTGCTGTCACAGCTACCTTTGCGAAGAAATGCTACAGGTAATGAGGCACCATCGTTGTGTATGGCATATTCAATTCTGATGAACCAGCGATGGAAAGAATTGAGTTTACTGCAGAAGCTGAACACTCTTACTTTAGGAGTGGGACATGCAACAAAAAGGGTGAGCATATAAAATATTTATTATTATAATAAATATTTTATATGCTCACCCTTTTTGTTGCATGTCCCACTCCTAAAGTAATATAATATTGATTGTGCAATTTTTAGGCCTCACAATTTAATATGTCATTCCAGAAAACATCATACCCACCCCCCCCCCCTCTATGGAGTAAATTTGGAAGTTAACCCCCTACCCTCTTCAGACATCATAATACATATATTGTACAAGTATGACAATCAAATTTTTATTCCCTCCCCCTCTGGATGCCAGAAAATGTGCAGATCTTTTCTGGAATTACTCAGATAATCATCATGGACATTGAATGTTGTTGACAGTAATAGTCTGACCACAGTTTTTGTGCCATTATGACAATAATAGAAGATGCATTGGGGATGGATTTACTTGGGGGGGGGTGCAGGGGATGTGCAACCCCCCAGCCCTGGCCAGAGGGGTGCAGGGGGGGTGCTATTTTTTATGATAAAGTCAAAAAGACAAAATGATATACAGTATTTTGAGTAATAACATGATGATAAGTGAACTGTTATAACAACAATTACAATTCAAATACAGTAGTTGATTGGCGGGCGGCACACATGACTGACACAACTCGGCAGTCGGCACCATAGCAACTCCCCCACCAACCCCCCCTACGAGATCATGCTGGATCCATCCCTGCTGATGCATGTTAATATTAACAAATTAATTATTTTGAAACCCATTTGTTGTTAACCCATTAAGCACCAGCGAACTCTTCCTGGCAAGTAAAATCATATGGCAATAGACAGATTAAAATACTAAAGTACTGTAGGGCACATCAGGACACAATGCAAATAAATGAGTCAATGTCTTTGATTAATGACATGGAATATGTTGGAAATGTCAGACAGATAGTTAAAATCGAATAACTGGCGGCTAAGCAAGACAACAATAACTTGCAACACATTTTTGTGACATATATTTTGGGCAGAGAAGTGCTCGAAAACAACAAGGGCAAATAATGTTAGCCAATCAGCGTGTTTGTTTACATTTTGCGTTCTTGACCAATCAGAATGCCTGAAATTCGAAACATGTAAACAAAAGGAGTGAGAAAATAACACCTTGTTCTCGCCCTCGGTGACATTCGATATTAATTTTTTTCGCCAAAACTGACAAATTCTGATAAAGCATGCTTTCTTCTTTAATTTCCTCGGGGGTATTTTTTAAATTCGATCTAGAACGCGAAATATTTATGTTTGAATAACAGTGTTTCGACGCGCGTAAAATAGCAGACTCTCACTTGCACTATCTTTACACACACATAAAAAATTGGTAGATTTGGCAGTTTAAACTTATTTTCCCCACACCACAGCTGACATGTTTTTAAATATTACCTATCTGATCTCATCGATCTCATTTCGCATCGGAAATGCGTCACAACGATCCACGACTGACAGGTACAATAATAGCTCAGTGCTCATCAGTGCTCTCACTTTTAAGGAATTATCCTTAAAAATAGGAATTTTGAAGAGTTTTAAGGATTTTTTTAAGGAATTTAGGTTTTTGAGGATTTTTTTAAGGAATTTCCGAAACATTTTATCCTGGACTAAAAACGTTGGACGGAGGATAACCACGCCACGCAAATGAGATTTAAACTTGAAAGTAGCAACATTATACGCACATAATTACATTTAGTATAATTACATAGGTGATTATTGAAAATTCTCCACGCTGATTGGTTGCCGTTGAGGAGATTATTACGCGATAATCACCTAAGTGATTTTCAAGCCGAAGCCTTTTTGTCAATTAAATGACAAAGAAATGTGTATTTTCTTATTTTTTTCCAAATAATCACCTATGAAATTATACTAAAACAATTATTCACCTCAGGCTCGGTGATGATCGTGAATAAAAACCTCGACTTCGTTTCGGTTTTTATTCACCGATAATCACCTCGCCTTCGGCGAATAATTGTTAAATATTCGTATGTTCTCTATGTCATAAATGTTCGGTGTTCCAGTACCAATTTGGTTCCAGTACCAAATAACACAAATCACACTCATATAACGTAATTGTCATCATAATATAATAGTATATGTTTCTGTACATGGCTTGGCATGTGATTTATAACAAAACTTAAAACAGTGTTTTGAAACCCTAGTTTTTCACAAAATGTGTTCTCAGAACGCTGCAAATGCCATTTCCGGGATTCAAATTTTAAAATTTTTCCGTGCCTTTGGCACGAGCCTCCCCCCCCCCCATATTTCGTAAAGTGTCCGCTACTGGTCTTTTCATTAAAATTCTCAAAAGTTAAATGTCAGTATATGCTGTTTCTTCTGAAATCTACAGATTTTTTAAGCTCTTCATGCAGCAACAATCAAAAATACATCATGTTGAATGTTTTCTTTATGGCATTACGCTAACAATCAAATGTTTTCAAATTTTAGTGCTTAGAAACAAGGTTATAAAAACTGAAAAAAGGAGGAAAAACACTTTTTGCAACTGTGTGATCAGGCCTTCTGATAATTTTTCCAATTTAAGGAATTATAAGGAAATCTGAGGAATTTTCGAGCTTTTTTTAAGGAATTCGAAAATTTGATTGTGAGAGCACTGATTCCGGGTTTTCACAACGCCCACATGTGGTTTGAAATTTTAGCGAACGCAAATCAGAGACTTTCATTCCCATGGCCTAACTGCAGTTAAAAAGTAGTTAAAAAGCCTTAAAAAATAGTTAACTTTAATCACGTAGTTAAGCCGGTTGTATAAATGTGTAGTTAGCCTTAACTGCAGTTAAAAAGTAGTTAAAGTTAACTATGCTTTAGAGTATAGTTAACTGTCCAAAACGTAATTAAAAATGGCGTTTGTATAGGATTGAACAACATTTTTCAGTAAAACAATGAAAAGCAACGCTTACCTGAGATTTTCATTCGCTATCTTCTCTGTGAATATTTCCTGACAATATAAACTCTTCAAACGCTATCGCTTTGGTGTTTTTTACGGAAACAGAACCTCGAACAGAACATATTTTTGCACAGGACGATTTCTCGAAGACGAAGTATGGTCATTACACCAAGAAACACTGGTATATAATTGCCAAACAGCTGTACCTTGGTTTAACGTAGACATCTCAAGGAAAAACTGCATTCTTTTATTATTTTTGTGGCGGTTTTTCCTTGTTTTTTTTTGTTATTTTTCACTGTTTTCTAGTGTTTTGAATTTTTGAATAAAATTCCCGCCTATTTGCAAAATACGAGTCCACAATCATGTTGATAATGTGTGTCAGCGGTAGTTACTCGCTACTTACGTTATGTAATTTTGTGTTTAAACGCCCCACGCAAGCCGCACGCACAGTTAACTACGTGATTAGTTAAAAAGGGGCAGTGTCACGACGCTGATTGGCTCAAATAAACAGCGCAAAGAAACGTTTAAAATTAATGCTACATGATTGGAAAAGATGCAGCAGCCTTCAACTTTTAAAACAAAGACAGGATGTCCTGCATAACGAAGGGATTATAAATAGTATATCGTATTTCACTCGGAACTTGATTAATTGTTGGCAGACAGTTTTTCAAGTTCGCGCATATTTTGGATGCGCAGTAGAACCGTGACACTGCCCCTTTAACTATCCGACTATAAACTACGTTTTGAGCAACGCACTTACAGTGAAAATACAAAAAGTGTCCCACTTCCGCTTCTGTAGTTTGTTGTGATTTACTGTAATTTGTTCTGTTTTTCTGTAGCGATTACCGATTTATCGGCAAATACTGCGATAAAATTTAAATTTCGTTCCTTTTATGCAATGAAACTAACGAAAAATGTATTATTTCCCTTTGCTACAAATTATCATACTTAAAAAAAGAAAAAAACTAAGTTTTATCGCGGTATTTGCCGATAAATCGGTAATCGCTACAGAAAAACAGAACAAATTAAAGTAAATCACAACAAACTACAGAAGCGGAAGTGGGACACTTTTTGTATTTTCACTGTAAGTCATGTAGTTAACTAATGGACCTTTAACCTTATAACTAAAATTTTGATCTAGACAAAAATTTCATCACAGCTTGAAAGAGCATCACAAAATTAGTCATATTCCAAAGTTTCGTTACGAAATGTTGTAAAATGCGGATAATATAGCCTTGCGAAGTTTGCAACTTTCAGTCATTTTAGATTACAAATGGGCAATTGATTCCCAAATCGGGTGTTTGGGTATCAATTTCCCGTTTGTAATCTAAAATGACTGAAAATTGCAAACTTCGCAAGGCTCTATTATCCGCATTTTACAACATTTCGCAACGAAACTTCGATGCTCTTTCAATCTGTGATGAAATTTTTGTCTAGACTTGTCTAGATCAAAATTTTAGTTATAAGGCTAAAGGTCCAACGTTTTTATACAACCGTCCCCAGGTAAAATTAAAAACACAAGTACATATGTTGTGACCTGCTCATGTCATCAGATGAATCTCATTTCGGGCAAAATGAAAAAACAAATTGTTATAGACCGACTGAGAAAGGTTCAAAACGCATATTGATGCAGAAAGTTTTGGCACAGGGGAATTTTAATGCGCATTTTGATATAAGAAATGCTTAGCCGCGCTTAGCCGTGTTTTAATATACTTTCTACTACGCTTAGCCGTTCGCCGGCTTCGCGGATCGACGTGGATCGAGTAAACTATAACTAGAGGTTACTATCGCAAGGCAAGTGCTGCCTTTTTAAACCAAAGTCTACTTAGAAATTTCGGGCCATTTTTCGGTTCAGATCGACTTAGAAATGTTCAAAACGAATATTGATGCAAAAAGTTTTCGTACAGTGGAATTCTAATGCGCATTTTGATATAAAAAATGCTTAGCCGTGCTTAGCCGGGTTTTAATATACTTTCTACTACGCTTAGCCGTTCACCGTCTTCGTGCATCGCGTCAAGAATAAGCTAGAAGCTACTATCACAAGGCAAGTGCTGCCTTTTTAAACCAAAGTCAAACTTAGATCATTTCGGGCCATTTTTCCGTTTAGATCGACTTAGAAATTTTCAAAACACATGTTGATGCAAAACGTTTTGGTGCAGGGGAATTTTAATGCGCGTTTTGATATAAAAAATGCTTAGCCGTGTTTTAATATACTTTCTACTACGCTTAGCCGTTCGCCGTCTTCGTGCATCGAGTCAACTAAAACTAGAAGTTACTATCGCAATGCAAGTGCTGCCTTAAATTCTTGTGAAATTAGACAATATAGAATGATTAGCTTTATCTTTTCGAGCCAGGTTCAACATGGCAATATTTTCTTATACTTGTAAACGGATTTTGCACATAGAGATATAAAAAAAATAAAAAATAGTCAGAATAAATAAAGGAAAAAAAATATTGTGAGTCTGCCACAAAACATGAGTTTAACTGGATTTGAACTCAAATGTTTATCTAGACAGGCCAAATCACATACCACTAAGCCATCAGTGGACGACTTGTAATTCGGGTAAAATTAAAAACACAAGTACATTGTTGTGACCTGCTCATCTCATGAGGTGAATCTCTTTTCGGGCAAAATCAAAAAAAATTCTTATAGGCCGACTTCCAAAGTTATAAACGCATATTAATGCAGAAGTTTTGCCACAAGGGAATATTAATGCCCATTTTGATATAAGAAATGCTTAGCCGTGCTTAGCCGTGTTTTAATATATTTTCTACCACACTTAGCCGTTCGCCGGCTTCGTGATCGAGTAAACTAAAACTAGAAGTTACTATCCCAAGACAAATGATGCCTATACAAACCAAAGTCAAACTTAGAAAATTTCGGGGTATTCGATCTAGATGGACTTAGAAAGTTAGAAAGATTCAAAACGCATATTAATGCAGAAAGTTTTGGCACCGGGGAATTTTATTGCCCATTTTGATACAAGAAATGCTTAGCCGTGCATAGCCTTGTTTTAATATACTTTCTACTACGCTTAGCCGTTCGCCGGCTTCCTGATCGAGTCAAATTATGAGTATTCAACTGTTTGGAGGAGCGATTTAGAGACTTTTTTGGAAAAATAATGGCAAAAAGAAATAAAGAAAAAATTATACGAAAGTTTTACCTGGGAACGGTCCACAACTTTCGCTCATGATGGCCACAGTCTTTACCACTACACCATGAAGGCAATGATGTAAACAGCTAAAAAATTGCAGTACTTGAATACTCGCTGTTTTGCGCTATACTAGCCGTATGTAGATATTTTCGATTTCACCCTACACAAGAATTCTCTTCAGAGCTCTTCATCCTTGTTCATCTCTCGTCATCCTTGGTTAAATCGACTCAGAATTGTTCTAATATACAAAAAATTCTCAAAATATGAGTTTTCAGCTGTTTGGAGGAGAGATTTAAAGACTTTTTTTGAAAAATAATGTCAAAAAGAAATAAAGAAAAAATTCTACGAAAGTTTTACCTGGGAACGGTCCACAACTTTCGCTCATGATGGCCACAGTCTTTACCACTACACCATGAAGGCAATGATGTAAACAGCTAAAAAATTGCAGTACTTGAATACTCGCTGTTTTGCGTTATACTAGCCGTATGTAGATATTTTTGATTTCACCCTACAGAAGAATTCTCTTCAGAGCTCTTCATCCTTGTTCATCTCTCGTCATCCTTGGTTAAATCGACTTAGAATTGTTCTAATATACAAAAAATTTTCAAAATATGAGTTTTCAGCTGTTTGGAGGAGGGATTTAGAGAATTTGTTGGAAAAATAATGGCAAAAAGAAATAAAGAAAGAATTATACGAAAGTTTTACCTGGGAACGGTCCACAACTTTCGCTCATGATGGCCACAGTCTTTACCACTATACCATGAAGGCAATGATGTAAACAGCTAAAAAATTGCAGTACTTGAATACTCGCTGTTTTGCGTTATACTAGCCGTATGTAGATCACGCTTGGCATAAAATGTTGCGAAATCGGCCAAACTGCCGATCATGAAGTTCAGCGGTCTTGCCCATGAGCATAGAAAAAATTCAAGATGGCGGCGATTAGGAGTGAATTGCAAAATCTGTTAGGGCGAATTTTTCATCTTGTGAACTAGAAAACTGTTGTGGATTATTGCGGAAACAATCGATGGGGACTGGTCAATGTGCGAAACAAACCTTCAATGAGAAAATCACGTTCGAATTAACAGATTGGCAAAGGCAAACTGGTCAATTTCTTTCTGTTGACATATGTTAAAATACTTCTTGTATAAGATTTAATTAAGTGATATCGAATGGATTTTGCTCAGACGACGTAAAATAAAGATAACAGCTAAAACGAAAGTTTACATAGACCTACCGCTCATTGTCAGGAGGCTTGTCTAATCTCTTAATTTCGCAGTCTACTAGTGTTGGCTTAATCAATATACAAGGATGGATAATTTGTAAGCAACTATATTGAATTTTTGAAAGCTTTCACACATTGAAAGGAATTACAGTATCATGTCTGTGCTAACAGTTGAAACAGTTATAAATATTTTTGAATTATGTACTGTACATGTTAATAAAGATAACTTGAGGTATTCTATATTCGCTAGCATGTCATATTTCTAACTTTCTGGTCTTTATTTAGCATACAGTATCTCACGCATACTACCAGTAATATGGCTGACATACTAAGTAACTAAGGAGTAAGGTGATAAATTTCTCTTTTGGTACATGCAGTTAAAAGTGTTTTTAGTGACTGTATGTAACCCATTATGACTGCCTGTGTATCAGTATGTGACAGGCATTTTACTGGTATGTGTATATTATTTGAACTTCCTGCATTGGCAAAGTACTTTGATTTGTATATTAATAAATTATATGATATACACCATGTCTTTGTATCCATTGATGTTCATACTTCCACAACCAGGGTGCTTAACCCATTAAGTGGCAGAGCTTCCCCATTGACGAGTAAAATTGTCTGGCGTTAGAAAAGTAAAAAAATAGATGGGGCGCATTGCGGTTCAATGGGTTAACACATAAAAGAACACACAGAGAAGAAAACCCATATGAATGTGTTGTTTACATGTGCAGGAAATGTTCACATGTGATCAATTCAAAAAGACTAAAATAATACACACTGGATAAAAAAGTTTATGAATTTGTTATTCCATGGTCAAATGTTTAGTACACTACTGAACATAAGGAACAATACTGGGAACAATATTTGCCAATAGTCCTGGCAAAAATATTTATTAGACCTGACAATTTAATTGAGAACACTATTTGCAATCAAATAATAATACATTTTTAATTAGATCAACCCTCACTTGCACTTGGCAATTACTGACAGGGTTAATATTACAGTCATAGTCAATCTTAATACACATATAGTTCAGTATAGTAGGCAGGAATAAGCCAAAGTCAGTGACACATTATTTCACAATATTCTGCCATTAGTAAATAAACTTTGCCTTGCAAGACCTAGAAGAAAATGGTAAAGGTTTAGAGATTAAAAATCTTGCATCACTATAGCTGATAAACCCAATATTGTTACAGTACGGTAACTGTCTTTAAGGGTAAATTTAAATATCTGACTGATATAAGACCAAAATAACAAAGTAGCCCGATTACTACGGGTATAGCCTGTAAACACGACTGTCTTTGGGGCACATCACATATCTACTCAGTATCGCATATACAAAACAAGCAAATGACTGATGGTGACACTGGGAAACACTGCGGCTTACTGAGTTAACACAAAAGGTGGACCGACAATCCATGGATGTATTGTGGCTGTATCATTGGTATATAAAAACATAAGCCTCACATGGGTGGTTTTCCTTGCTACTTTCAGAACTTAAATCATTAAGCGCCAGCCCTCTCCCCTTGACAAGTAAAATTGTCTGCTGTTAGACAGAGTAAAATAATAAAGTAGGGCGCATCAGGGCGCAGTGCGACTCAATGGGTTAACTAGACACATAGACATATAAGCCTGTCAACCATTAAGTGCCAGCCCTCTCTGTTGACAAGTTAACTTGTCTGCCGTTAGATAGAGACTGACAGAGTAAAATAATAACATAGGGTGCATCAGGGTGCAATGTGACTCAATGCACTATAACTACAGTAGACACAAAGACATATAGGGTAGTTAATCATTAAGTCGTTTAAGCACCAGTGCTCTCCCCTTGACAAGTAAAATGGTCTGCCGTTAGACAGAGTAAAATAATAAAGTAGGGCGCATCAGGGCGCAGTGCGACTCAATGGGTTAACTAGACACACAGACATATAAGCTTGTCAACCATTAAGCGCCAGCCCTCTCTGTTGACAAGTTAACTTGTCTGCCGTTAGATAGAGACTGACAGAGTAAAATAATAACATAGGGTGCAATGTGAGTCAATGCACTAACTAGACATAAAGACATATAGGGTAGTTAATCATTAAGCCGTTTAAGCACCAGTGCTCTCTCCTTGACAAGTAAAATCGTCTGCCGTTAGACAGCTCTAGTAAAATAATAAAGTAGGGCGCATCGGGGCGCAGTGCGACTCAATAGATTAACTAGACACATAGACATATAAGCTAGTTAACTATTAAGCGCCAGCGCTCTCTGTTGACAAGTTAACTTGTCTGCTGGTAGATAGAGACTGACAGAGTAAAATAATAACATAGGGTGCAATGTAACTCAATGCACTAACTAGACACATAGACATATAGGCTAGTTAACCAATTAAGCTGCGCCAGCACTCTCCCCTTGACAAGTAAAATCGTCTGGCGTTAGACAAAGTAAAATAATCTGGCGTTAGACAAAGTAAAATAATAAAGTAGGGCCCATCAGGGCGGCGAGGGCGCAATGCGACTCAATGAGTTCATAGATTGCTGAAACTATAAATCAAGTCTGTGTACAAATACAACACCTAGGCCACGCTGCCAGCTGTGCCTGTGGTTTACCTGAATTTGCAAGCAATTATAGGTTTGTTTCAATATTCAAAAGATTTTTCTAACTTCAAAGTTAAAAAAACTTCACATTTATATAGTAACAGAGTTTACATTGTCAGAATTGCATGTTTTGTGCTGAAATGTAACACTGAGCCAGTTCTCTCAAAGATTACTTACAAATCCCTCAAAACTTAGAATTTACCTATGGAACATCGCATATTGTCTAGTCAATCTACTTATAATAAATCTGTGTGACAACTGTCAATGTGAAAATATAATATACAACACATTATTGTTCGTAATTTTAAACATATTTCGCTTGTTTTAAACCCTCCAAATTCGAAAATATAGGGTTAATTAAAGGGTTTGTAGCCATAGGCCGCTATAGGTATTATAGTTCTTGAGCGCTCAAGAATGTATACAATATACAAGTCAACAAGTACACACGCCTGCCTTTCAAAACATATCAATATATTATCCCTTGTTTCGTACAAATAATACAATAAACAAATGCCAAACATACCTTTTCGTCTAATCTCCTCAATTTCTGTGTCTTGGTCGATAATTCCATCTTTCTTTTGACCGCAACCTCAGACGCTAAACGTTATATTATTAGCGTTGACATCGAAACGCTGTATTTGGTGGCCTTATTCAAATGCATTTTTACTGCGATCAAAGACGAAATCGAATAAAGTGCTACGGTAGGAATTTAGATAAAGGCTATAAATTTAGTCCTACCAAATATTATAAAAGGATGGCCTTAAAAACAAAAGTTATTCGAAGCCGAAATTCATCAATTTTAACATTTTGGCTTCGATGCGCCATTGTTTGCGAAATTGCTCTCAAAGAATGCTCGCAAGCGGCAAAACAATAAAGGTAGTCATGGCAACTTTGGTACCATTCTGATCCCCTAATATCACGCTATTCATCCCCAAAGTACATATTTCTCTAAGGATACCCTTCATGTCACCGCAGCTATCTAAAAATAGCGCACATTTCCAAAATTAATTTCGTCTCCAGACTCCAAAAAAATACGCGCGCCATCCGCAAAATTTCGAACATTTCTTGTGGCCGAATTTGAAACATTTTATGCCAAGCGTGGATATTTTCGATTTCACCCAACAGAAGAATTCTCTTCAGAGCTCTTCATCCTTGTTCATCTCTCGTCATCCTTGGTTAAATCGACTCAGAATTGTTCTAATATACAAAAAATTCTCAAAATATGAGTTTTCAGCTGTTTGGAGGAGCGATTTAAAGACTTTTTTGGAAAAATAGTGGCAAAAAGAATAAAGAAAAAATAATACGAAAAGTTTCGAGAGTTTTACCTGGGAACGGTTCACAACTTTCGCTCATGATGGCCTCAGTCTTTACCACTATACCATGAAGGTAACTATGTAAACAGCTAAAAAATTGCAGTACTTCAATACTCGCTGTTTTCCATTATACTAGTCGTATGTAGATTTTTTCGATTTCACCCTACAGAAGAATTCTCTTCAGAGTTCGTCATCCTTGTTCATCTCTCGTCATCCTTTGTTAAATCGACTCCGAATTGTTCTAATATACAAAAAATTCTCAAAATATGAGTTTTCAGCTGTTTGGAGGAGCGATTTAGAGCCTTTTTTGGAAAAATAATGGCAAAAAGAAATAAAAGAAAAATGATACAAAAGTTTTACCTGGGAACGGTCCACAACTTTCGCTCATGATGGCCACAGTCTTTACCACTATACCATGAAGGCAATGATGTAAACAGCTAAAAAATTGCAGTACGTGAATACTCGCTGTTTTGCGTTACACGAGCCGTATGTAGATATTTTCGATTTCACCCTACGGAAGACGTGTGCTCTTCCGATCTCTTCATCCTTGTTCATCTCTCGTCATCCTTGGTTAAATCGACTCAGAATTGTCCTAATATACAAAAAATTCTCAAAATATGAGTTTTCAGCTGTTTGGAGGAGCGATTTAGAGTCTTTTTTTGAAAAATAATGGCAAAAAGAAATAAAGAAAAAATTATACGAAAGTTTTACCTGGGAACGGTCCACAACATTCGCTCATGATGGCCACAGTCTTTACCACTATACCATGAAGGCAATGATGTAAACAGCTAAAAAATTGCAGAATTTGAATACTCGCTATTTTGCGTTATACTAGCCGTATGTAGATATTTTCGATTTCACCCTACAGAAGAATTCTCTTCAGAGCTCTTCATCCTTGTTCATCTCTCGTCATCCTTGGTTAAATCGACTCAGAATTGTTCTAATATACAAAAAATTCTCGAAATATGAGTTTTCATCTGTTTGGAGGAGCGATTTAGAGACTTTTTTGGAAAAATAATGGCAAAAAGAATAAAGAAAAAATTATACGAAAAGTTTCGAGAGTTTTACCTGGGAACGGTCCGCAACTTTCGCTCATGATGGCCACAGTCTTTACCACTATACCATGAAGGCAACGATGTAAACAGCTAAAAAATTGCAGTACTTCAATACTCGCTGTTTTCCGTTATACTAGCCGTATGTAGATTTTTTCGATTTCACCCTACAGACGAATTCTCTTCAGAGCTCTTCATCCTTGTTCATCCCTCGTCATCCTTGGTTAAATCGACTCAGAATTGTTCTAATATACAAAAAATTCTCAAAATATGAGTTTTCAGCTGTTTGGAGGAGCGATTTAGAGACTTTTTTGGAAAAATAATGGCAAAAAGAAGAAAGAAAAAATTATACGAAAAGTTTCGAGAGTTTTACCTGGGAACGGTCCACAACTTTCGCTCATGATGGCCACAGTCTTTACCATTATACCATGAAGGCAATGATGTAAACAGCTAAAAAATTGCAGCACTTGAATACTCGCTGTTTTGCGTTATACTAGCCGTATGTAGATATTTTCGATTTCACCCTACAGAAGAATTCTCTTCAGAGCTCTTCATCCTTGTTCATCTCTCGTCATCCTTGGTTAAATCGACTCAGAATTGTTCTAATATACAAAAAATTCTCAAAATATGAGTTTTCAGCTGTTTGGAGGAGCGATTTAGAGTCTTTTTTGGAAAAATAATGGCAAAAAGAAATAAAGAAAAAATTATACGAAAGTTTTACCTGGGAACGGTCCACAACTTTCGCTCATGATGGCCACAGTCTTTACCACTACACCATGAAGGCAATGATGTAAACAGCTAAAAAATTGCAGTACTTGAATACTCGCTGTTTTGCGTTATACTAGCCGTATGTAGATATTTTCGATTTCACCCTACAGAAGAATTCTCTTCAGAGCTCTTCATCCTTGTTCATCTCTCGTCATCCTTGGTTAAATCGACTCAGAATTGTTCTAATATACAAAAAATTCTCAAAATATGAGTTTTCAGCTGTTTGGAGGAGCGATTTAGAGACTTTTTTGGAAAAATAATGGCAAAAAGAAATAAAGAAAAAATTATACGAAAGTTTTACCTGGGAACGGTCCACAACTTTCGCTCATGATGGCCACAGTCTTTACCACTATACCATGAAGGCAATGATGTAAACAGCTAAAAAATTGCAGTGCTTGAATACTCGCTGTTTTGCGTTATACTAGCCGTATGTAGATATTTTCGATTTCACCCTACAGAAGAATTCTCTTCAGAGCTCTTCATCCTTGTTCATCTCTCGTCATCCTTGGTTAAATCGACTCAGAATTGTTCTAATATACAAAAAATTCTCAAAATAGGAGTTTTCAGCTGTTTGAAGGAGCGATTTAGAGACTTTTTTGGAAAAATAATGGCAAAAAGAAATAAAGAAAAAATTATACGGAAAGATTCAAGAGTTTTACCAGGGAACGGTCCACAACTTTCGCTCATGATGGCCACAGTCTTTACCACTATACCATGAAGGCAATGACGTAAACAGCTGAAAAATTGCAGTACTTCAATACTCGCTGTTTTGCGTTGTACTAGCCGTATGTAGATTTTTTCGATTTCACCCTACAGAAGAATTCTCTTCAGAGCTCTTCATCCTTGTTCATCCCTCGTCATCCTTGGTTAAATCGTCTCAGCATTGTCCTAATATACAAAAAATTCTCAAAATATGAGTTTTCAGCTGTTTGGAGGAGCGATTTAGAGAGATTTTTGGAAAAATAATGGCAAAAAGAATAAAGAAAAAATTATACGAAAAGTTTCGAGAGTTTTACCTGGGAACGGTCCACAACTTTCGCTCATGATGGCCACAGTCTTTACCACTATACCATGAAGGCAATGACGTAAACAGCTAAAAAATTGCAGTACTTGAATACTCGCTGTTTTGCGTTATACTAGCCGTATGTAGATTTTTTCGATTTCACCCTACAGAAGAATTCTCTTCAGAGCTCTTCATCCTTGTTCATCTCTCGTCATCCTTGGTTAAATCGACTCAGAATTGTTCTAATATACAAAAAATTCTCAAAATATGAATTTTCAGCTGTTTGGAGGAGCGATTTAGAGACAGTTTTGGAAAAATAATGGCAAAAAGAATAAAGAAAAAATTATACGAAAAGTTTCGAGAGTTTTACCTGAAAAAGGTCCAGAACTTTCGCTCATGATGGCCTCAGTCTTTACCACTATACCATGAAGGCAACGGTGTAAACAGTTAAAAAATTGCAGTACTTGAATACTCGCTGTTTTGCGTTATACTAGCCGTATGTAGATTTTTTCGATTTCACCCTACAGAAGAATTCTCTTCAGAGCTCTTCATCCTTGTTCATCTCTCGTCATCCTTGGTTAAATCGACTCAGAATTGTCCTAATATACAAAAAATTCTCAAAATATGAGTTTTCAGCTGTTTGGAGGAGCGATTTAGAGACTTTTTTAGAAAAATAATGGCAAAAAGAAATAAAGAAAAAATTATACGAAAGTTTCGGGAATTTTACCTGGAAACGGTCCACAAATTTCGCTCATGATGGCCTCAGTCTTTACCACTATACCATGATGGCAACGATGGAAACAGCTAACACATTGCAATAGTTCAATATTCTCTGTTTTCAGTTCTACGTGATGTATGTAGATTTTTTGCATTTCACCCTGGACAAGAATTCTCTTCAGAGTTGTTCATCCTTGTTCATCTCTCGTCATCCTTGGTTAAATCGACTCAAAATTGTCCTAATATACAAAAAAATATCTAAAAATGAATGTTCAGCTGTTAGGAGGTGCGATTTAGAGACTTTTTTGGAAAAATAATGGCAAAAAGAAATAAAGAAAAAATTATACGAAAGTTTTACCTGGGAACGGTCCACAACTTTCGCTCATGATGGCCACAGTCTTTACCACTATACCATGAAGGCAATGATGTAAACAGCTAAAAAATTGCAGTACTTGAATACTCGCTGTTTTGCGTTATACTAGCCGTATGTAGATATTTTCGATTTCACCCTACAGAAGAATTCTCTTCAGAGACAGAGCTCTTCATCCTTGTTCATCTCTCGTCATCCTTGGTTAAATCGACTCAGAATTGTTCTAATATACAAAAAATTCCCAAAATATGAGTTTTCAGCTGTTTGGAGGAGCGATTTAGAGACTTTTTTGGAAAAATAATGGCAAAAAGAAATAAAGAAAACATTATACGAAAGTTTTACCTGGGAACGGTCCACAACTTTCGCTCATGATGGCCACAGTCTTTACAATTATACCATGAAGGCAATGATGTAAACAGCTAAAAAATTGCAGTACTTGAATACTCGCTGTTTTGCGTTATACTAGCCGTATGTAGATATTTTCGATTTCACCCTACAGGAGAATTCTCTTCAGAGCTCTTCATCCTTGTTCATCTCTCGTCATCCTTGGTTAAATCGACTCAGAATTGTTCTAATACATAAAAAATTCTCAAAATATGAGTTTTCATCTGTTTGGAGGAGCGATTTAGAGACTTTTTTGGAAAAATAATGGCAAAAAGAATAAAGAAAAAATTATACGAAAAGTTTCGAGAGTTTTACCTGGGAACGGTCCACAATTTTCGCTCATGATGGCCTCAGTCTTTACCACTATACCGTGAAGGCAATGATGTAAACAGCTAAAAAATTGCAGTTCTTCA